CATAATTCTTTGATTTTTTTTACAACTTTTAATTAATTTTAATTATTCGGATTCGTATGACTTACTTTTTCTTTTTATTCCCCCTTATTGCCCCTCCAATATCTGCTTGCACCAATCCCCTTTAGCCCCTTTTAACAATTGAATATAAATTATTACTCCGTATTATTTTTTAAGATGGGGTGGCAGAGGATGGAACTCTGGATAACTTGTAGAATCTGTATTACTTAACTTCTAAAGCTAAGAGACTAGGTGGATCTGCGCTAACCAATTGCGCTAAAATTTATTTATTTTTATATATCTATCTTTTCTTCTTCTTCTTCTTCTTTTTCTTCTTCTTCTTCTTTTGACAAGGAAAACTATATACAGTATTTGCAAATGTTCATTTGGTAAACTTTGTTAATGTGTAATAACTTGTAAATTACAGAAATGAAAGTGTTGACAATAATTGAACTCCTCACATAGCCACCTATTTCTCGACAAAATTAAATTTATTACTTAATTTGTTTTTTTTTTTTAATTTTCAGAATTGTCCATTTTTCTTTCTTCCCATCATTAACAAAATATTCATCTATCTCCATATTATCATGATATACACACACACAACATTTTTTTTAAAGCGTTGTCAAGAAAGTCGGATAGTTATGCTCTCCATCCGTATGCACCATGCATGGTGCATACGGATGCCAAAACGACGTCGTTTTATTAAAAAACGCGCGTCTCCTTTTTAAAAAAATTTTAGGTTTGATTCCCAGCAACAACATTATATTGTTCATTCATTCTGGAATTTTAGTTCATAGATTATGGAATTATAGTTCATTGATTATGGAATTATAGTTCATCGAATATGGAATTGTAGTTCATCGATTCTGAAATTTTAGTTTATAGATTATGGAATTTTAGTTCATTCATTCTGAAATTTTTAGTTCATAGATTAGATTATGGAATTATAGTTCATATGTTGTTGCTGAGAATCGAACCTGATTTTTTTTTTTTAAGGGGAGACGCGCGTTTTAATAAAACGACGTCGTTTTTGCATCCGTATGCACCATACATGGTGCATACGGATGCACAACATAATTTGCCAAGAAAGTAGGGGAAAGTTACCCACCACTTTCAAAATATTTGTATATAACATAAAATATATCCGAATCAATAACCTATTAAGTTCACATAAAATTTAGTTTAGATAATATTAATAATTTTGTGAGCTAATATATAAAATATTTTTAGATATATTCATTTGAACGACATGTATATAAATATATAATTTTTACTTTAAATTATAATATCGTAATATATGTGAAATTTCAATATCTGATATCCGGACTAAACTTGTATTATAATATAACATAACTAAAAATATCCGAATCAATAATCAATTGAGTTCAATCAAAATATAAAACTTGGTATAGAGTTCAATTTTTAATTTTGATAATGTGAATAATGTCTAACTTTAAGCATAAACAAATAAGTTATGTTTAAATAAGTAATGTAAGTAGAAAAGATAGAAGATGATGATAAGTAAAAGAATATGATAATGAATGTAATTATAACAATGAAAAAATATGTAAGTAGATAATGGTGAGAATGTAGTTATAGTGACATATAGCTAAATAGATGATAGATGATTATGTTTTCCATCTAAAAAACAGTTTTTAATAGTTTTACAGTTTCTAAAATTGGAAAATTGTTTCTTGTTTTCAAAATAGTTTTATAGTTTCCTAGAAAATTGTAAAATTATTTATTGTTTTCAAAACAAAAAATTGTGCTAGTAAACATGTTTTTTGTTCTCTAATTTTTCAATTTTCTAGAAAATTAGATAACTTTTACAGTTAGTAACGAGACAACTTTTTTAATATATTTAGTTTTAGACTATTAAGTTTATACCAAGATTATGTGGTTTAATGGTACTCGGGTTGGATTTTTATTTGGAAAGTTATGAGTTCGAGCCTCAGTGGAGGCGTTAACATTTAAAAAAAAAAATATCAATTTAGTTATTATATTTGAATATTTCTATTATTTTAGGTTGAGTAAGTATATTTGAACAGATACTACAATGTAATAGAGTTAGTATCATTCAAAAAAATATAATTAGTAAATTTTATTATGGAAGTAATGTAAATATTATTTAATTTCTTTTTTAATAAGATATTATATAAACTCGGAGATGAAAAAATAAGGGTGTTGCTATTTGCACCCCCTTTGACCAAAAGTAGGTATAAAGTATTTTGAAGTTATAAAAAGGTGAAAACTTTTAATAATTAATAGGTGGTGTAAATAGCTAAATAAGGGTCATTTTACTATTTGCACCACTTGGTCAAACCTCATTTATGATGTGTGATTAATAATATTTTAATTCAAACTCTAATTAATTAAAATATTAAATTAAAAAAAATTGAACCCCGTCACTGTTTTGCTTGTTTTTGTTTTTTTGTTTTTTTTTTTTTTTGTTTTTGATTTTTTAATGCTAATTATTTATGAAATATTTTTTTAAGTTTTTATTTTCAATACATATATTTTTAAGTTTCTATTGTCAATACATTTTTTTTGTTCAATATATATTTTTTGTTCAATACATATTTTTTCAAAGTTGCTAATTGTAATACATATTTTTTTTAAGTTTATAATTTCAATATATATATTTTTTAAACAATTATTCAATATTGATGTTTGTGAGATGAAATTACTGGTAATTTGGGTGTCAGAGAATACAAATTGGACTCATATGACTATATATATGTGTGGTGGCTCTATTTGGCAGAGCTTATTTAGGAGCTTATAGCTTATTTTAAGCTACTAATAAGCTATAAACTATGTTTTGTAATGTTCATAAAATAAGCTTCTAGCTTAAAATAAGAGCTTATTTTGGAACGCTACTTTAGGTAGCGTTTCAAAATAAGTTCCTAGCTTCCTAACTTTTTTTCCATCTTTATCCTTATTATTTTAAAGAAATGACATAATTTACCCTTCTCAATTAAAACTTTTTTCTCTTCTCTTTTAATTTATCTGCAACTTTCACCGCAAATATTATAATTCAAATATCTTTTTACCAACCGTTGATATAATTCGCTGGTCAAATCCGCTAACGCTAACCGCTAACTGCTGATTGTCAAACAAGGATATCGTGACGTAGTTCTCACTTCAATTTGTTGTGTGATTTGAATACTTTCTTTGTCAACAAATCCCTCAAGTAGTTAATATGATTGGCTTTATTAATTATATTTTTTAAAATTTTTCATGGTATTAATAAAATACTTGGTAAATAAACATATAACATTACTTATATTATAACTTTGATATTTAATTAAAAAACAGTGCACAAAAAAAAGATAATAGACAATGTAGTGAATATAATCAATTAATAAATCTGAATGTAAAGAATTTTTACATTGGAGAAAAATAAAGACAATATAACTAATAAAATTATTTCTCTTAATTAATTTAAAGACAAAATGTTAAATTTTAATATGTAAACAAACTAATGTAAACAGAGCCTATGTATCACACAATCTATAAGTCATGGATCATTAGATAGAAGATTTTTTTTTTTTTTTACAATAATCATAATCAAAGCCAGTTACTTAGTTACAATGATCAAAATCAAAGTCATAGACATTATGAGGTATTTTAAGTTGTTATTTGAATTGTTATTTATTTCTATGAGTGTTGCTATTTGTATTTTAAGCCAGTTTGTTCTTCCTTGCTAGGTAATTAGGACTCATTTAAATTAGATATAATTTCTCAATTGACTAAATAACAATCTCATTGTTCCATTTCAAGAGAGAAAATTATAGTATAAAGAGTACTGAATTTGTGATTTTATTTATTGGGTGACTTGTGAGTCTATCTATATACTGAATTAATTTAATTTGTTGTGAATAGAGTTGTAAATTAATCAATTTATTGTATTTACAGTAATACAATATAAAAAAGATAGGTAGAAAATCAATTTATTGAGTAATATTGAGTACATAGAGCAACATATACTACAAAGAATACACAATTGTAGGAAACTATTTTACAAAGACGGAAGAACGACCATAAATACAAAATTCAAAATAGAAAGAGTGTAGGAACACATGCAGTAGACTTATTTTATGATTAGAAGCCTTTGACCTCCACTTATTTTATGATTAGAATTTTAACTACATCAAAATTGTTAGAACTCTAACCCATATATCTTTATAAAATTGTTACAGTATTTACAGTATAAAAAGATAAGTAGAAAATCAATTTATATTTCAAAGTCTCAATAGAACTATAACCCACATATCTTTATAGAATTTTAACTACATTAAAATTGTTAGAACTCTAACCCACATATATCTTTATAAAAGATAGGTAGAAAATCAATTTATATTTATTTATTTCAAATATCACTAGTAATCATTTTATATTTCAATTTATAGTTAAATCAATTTAAAATAATATATACAACAAATTTGAGTTATAAAAAAATTAAAATAACAAAATTAATTATTATTTCTCTTTATTTAAAATTAAAACATAAACAAAAATAAGTATTGAAAATATAAACTTAAAAAAAGATGTATCGAACAAAAAAAAAGATGTATTGAAAATAGAAATTTAAAAAAAATATGTATTAAAAATAAAAATTTTAAAAAATATTGAACAAAATAATTATGCATTAAAACATAATAATAATAATAATAATAATAATAATAATAATAATAATATAATAATAATAATAATAATAAAAAGAGATTGATTATTAAATAAAAATAAAAAATAAAGATTAATGTTTGACTACATTTAATGAGGTGGTGCAAAAAGCACTTTTTTATTTGCACCACCTATAAAGCTATTACACCTATTAAATAGGGGGGGTGTAAATAGCAAAATGGGTGGTGTAAATAGAACTCCCAAAAATAAATAAACATTAAAGTAAAGGAGTGCTCATAGTAAAACAAACCACTATTTCCACGCTCCACTAAAGAGTAAGAGGAAATATAAAACAACAGAACAAAAAGTAATAACCAACAGAACTATTCGAAATACCTTTACCTTCTCTCTCTCTCTATTCTCTGCACGCAGAAAGTGCATTGTTGGGGCTCGGGAATCCGCCATGGATGACACCGGAGAAGCGTCTAAGCCATCTCTGCAGCTCCAAAATACATGCGCCGACAGCGGCGGCGGAGTTGGCGGTGGTGATGAGCCTAGTGGAGCGACGACTGGAACTGAGACTTCAGAAGAAGCTGAAGTGGGAGGTTCTGACTCCGAAGAAACCCTAGATACGGTGGACTCGCCTTCCATACAGTTGAATAAGAGTGCTAGCCGACCGGATTCCCTTGCTTCCTCCTCCTCGCACGTGCTCTCTGGTACTTCTGATTCTCTCTACTTTACAGTGTGAATTTGAATTTTCGATTTCATAGTTTTTCTGTGAGACTGTGCATGCTTGATAATTTCAATGCGCATATCGTTTTCTGGCTATACTGCACGTTTGTAATCATTTTGTTGTATTCTGCGCAGAAGTTCCAATCGAGTATAGCTTGCACCCGACCGAATTCCTGAAGGAAATCAAGGTGAATTTATTTAACAATATTTATTTATTTATTTACTTTATATCTACATGATTACTGAACTCCTGTTCCCTGCTGCCTAGTTTATTTGGAAATGAGCAGGTTATGAAGTGTGTTGGCGTATTCCTATCCTTAACTGGTTTTCATTTGAAATATGGAGTAAAAAGTGCGCATATAGTTTGTTTACCACTTGGGAATTATCTGTTGTGAGAGTAGGTTATCAAAGTAGTAATTTCATAAGCGTGTATCAATGAGAAGTGTGAGTGGTATGGTGTTTGTAATTGGAGCAGTCTTGCTGCTTGCCAATTCCTGAAGTGCTTGGCACTTTTAACCCTGAATTCAGAAATTATAGCATCTTGTTTTGTATATTGGAAGCAATAGCAAAAAGTAGAGGGCATAAGAAACCTGGTTGGACCCTTACTAAGCCGTGGACAGCTTTGTTATGGTCATGCTCAATGCAAAAGCTGCTGCAAAAAAATAATTGGAACTTTAACATTATATACCTAAATGATGTGTGTGAATAAACTTTTAACAACACATTATTCTATATGGTACAGTGTTGGAACTACTTTTCTTTGGCATATGGAAGGCTGATTTAAGCTACTAATCTAGAAAGAAATGAACTAATTAATATAAAAATGTAAGTAATCAAAAATTTCAAATTTTTATTAGAAGCACATTGTAAGCCTTGATGCAACAATCAAAACGGTTATCTGTTCTATATCCAATTATGGATTATATGGTAGTGACCTACAAAACAAAGTCAAGAGCCATGTTGAGGACCTTATGTCAATACTTGATTCAGGTTTCTGATAAGCAGAGTGCATCTTTAGATATATGATAGCTTAATATGGCATGTAGAACATGTATTTGGAGGGATCATGGATTTAGACCATGTGATAGGCTGGCTTAGATGTGCTTGGGCCATGGTGCTGACTAACTGACCAACCATATCTGCAATGAGTCTGAACCTTTCTTGTGGGTTATTTGTCTCTTTGGGCCTTTTTCCTACAAGAAGGATCACTATATAGTAAACCTTAACTCCTTAAGGAATTCAATTGATCCCTGAAGGTCTGCCTTATTCTTCTCCACTTTGTTTTTGTTAATTTGATGCTGATGTGAATTCTTATCAGAGTAGTTAGAGGAATGTGAAACATTAATCAGCATCTCAGTGACCTGTGAGGGCTTTACTGAAGCTTAACCAAAGACACATGAATGAAACAAAATTTACTTCACAATCCTATTAATACTGAGTTTCACCCATTTAACAGTATCCATCACTTGCTCTATGCAACAAATTCATGGACAGGATTCTAAAAACAATTGAAATGTTATGCTGAATAGGCACCTAAATGGATCCCGAGCTATGGTAGTTCATTCTGCACCTGGTTACTGCCCTTGGCTTTTATAGTTGCCATGTTAGAGCATGTTGGGTAAACTATTTTTTGGGCCTTACTATTTTCTGTGTATACAAAAATGAGAGAAATAAGATTCAGAATCTCTAACTTTAGATTGACTTGGGGTGTTTATATTTTAGCTATTTTATGTTCATTCAAATTCAAACATTTGTTCAAACTTCAGAGCTGTTCATGTGATGTTAAAACATGCTATTAAAGATCTAGAAATGCTCATAGGAGTTTCACATATGAACTTTTATGTTGATCTTAATTAAATTCCTCAGGATGAGGTTGGCATTTCTAACCAGAAAGCTTCAACTGTTCAAGCTCAAAGGCGGAACCAACTGCAGTCTGCTGATGATCCATCTGTGTTGGAATTATCTCCAACTTCTGTTACACAGTCCATTTCATCCATTCCCAGCCCAACTCCAGGAGAGCGAAGATTGTCTCCATTAGAGAACAGAAATGGCGCATGCATCCAAGAAGTAGATAACCAGAATTCTTCCAACTCCAAAGCGTTATCTCTTGTTCCTGTCTTAAAGATACAAGCACCTGATGGGTACAATTGGCGGAAATATGGTCAAAAGCAAGTGAAGAGTCCTCAAGGTTCTCGGAGCTATTACAGATGCACATATTCTGACTGCTGTGCAAAAAAGATTGAGTGTTCTGATCACACTAACCGTGTTACAGAGATTGTTTATAGAAGTCCTCACAATCATGAGCCACCCCGAAAAGTAAATACCCCTAAAGTAAACACCCCTAAAGTAAACAAGCTTGCAATCTCATCTATGCCTCGTAGTCAGGATAGCAAAGTAGCTCGCCTAAATAGTAATGCTGATGAGACAGTGCCGTCCACTTCAAAGAAACATGTTAAAGAAACAACACCAATATCGGAGACAAAGCAGCGGGATTCCTCTGGATTGGATGACAATGCTGAAACTAATGTTAAAGGGGAGGATTGTGATGAACCTACACAGAAGAAAAGGTGAGTCTGTGGAGCTTTGTCTCATACTGACATTCCATCTTACTTGTATTCTATGGCTAATCCATTTAACTTTAAAAAAAAAAAACAAAAACAAAAACAAAACAAAACAAAACTATTCACCTTACATCATTTCTCACCTTTAAATTTCAGATTGAAGAAATGTTCCTCAAGTCCTGAGTCTCTTCCTAAACCTGGCAAGAAAGCAAAATTGGTTGTTCACGCTGGTGGTGATGTGGGAATCTCAAGTGATGGCTATAGGTGGCGCAAGTATGGACAAAAAATGGTGAAGGGTAATCCCCATCCCAGGTTAGTTACTGCTTTTAGCGTTATATATTGATAGATTTATTTTTTTGGTTTTGTGTAATTTAGAGATATAGTAATGTCATATTCGGTTTTTATATTTAATTAACAAGTTCCTTTCCTGTTGTGTCTCATTTTCTGTATTCAAACACTTAATTGAATGAGAGGAATGTGGGAGCAGAGGTCCTATAGGAAAAGATGCTTTATACAAAAGGAAATAGTGTCTATAAAGCAAGTGTGCTTTCAATGTGTGTTCAAGAAATAGAAAAAGGAAGCAAAGCAGAGTGCCTGAATTATAAATATCTATCCTCACCAAAATGTACTCTGTATATGCCATGTCATTTGTCTGTGTTTCTAAAGAGCACAAACAATTTCTTACTCTCATACTGAATGGATTTCAGGAACTATTATCGGTGCACTTCGGCTGGATGTCCTGTTCGGAAGCACATTGAGAGGGCTGTAGACAACACGACTGCTGTCATTATAACCTATAAGGGGGTTCATGATCATGGCATGCCAGTACCTAAGAAACGTTATGGCCAACCTAGTGCTCCCCTAGTTGCTGCGACAGCCTCCGCTTCCATGACTGATTCGCAGACTAAGAAATCTGAACCAACCACCCAGTGGTCAGTAGACAAAGAGGGTGCATTAACAGGCGAGACATTGGAGCATGAAGGGGAGAAAACCGTGGAATCAGCTAAAACTCTATTGAGTATTGGATTTGAAATCAAGCCTTGTTGAAACCCCCCTTTTCGACTTTGATCTTGTTTCTTATTATTTCTCCTAGAGCTGCGGTTTTTTTTTTTTTTTTTTCAGTAGTGTGTATCTTTTTCCCCATGTTCTGTATCTTTGCATTCGAAATCTGTAGGCTTGAACATATTGATAGCCGTGGGGCAGTGTATAAATGATTGTACTCATCTTCTCTGTAAATTGCTATGTATCAAATGAATTCAAATAGAACAGATCAAGGATCAGCCACACCTGCTGATTCTGCTCCCCTCCACTTTCTTAACTTTATTCATTACTGTGCATAAAGAGTACATTTGATATTTTGTACACTCGTAGCGGTAAGTTGGTATTCCCACTTCTGCGAGGGCTCAAGTCTCAACCAGAATATCTTATATTATCTTGCTAAATTGTCATCTTGCACCATGCCGGTCTCAAGTCTCAAGTATCTCGTATCTGATGTGGATCTTCTTTTTAAGTCAATCCCCAAATTTTTAAGTCAACCCCCCCCCATCCCCCTCTCCTGTCGGCTGGCGGAGAAAAGCTTTGCTGTCACCTTCATCAACACCCATTCTGTGCACTACCACCTCATCAAGAGCAACCGCTGCGACAATGGCATGTTCTCCAGCATTCGCAAGCCCGGCCTCGACATCCGCTATGTCACCATCTATGATGGCCTCCCGCCAAAGTGAGATAGGGCGGTGAACCACAACTAGTTCATGGCCGTGCGCTCCTGCATGTCTATTAATTGGATCGGGTTCTTTATTCCATTCGTTTCTTGGGCTTTTATTTTTATTTTTTATTTTTTTTCATTTTCTTTTTATGAAAGTTTTTCCATTAATTTCTTGTAATTGTATTCATACTCCAACATTGAAAAACTCATATGAGGTGTTATGTTGTTTTTTCTTAAATTTTTGAGTGATGAAGTTTACCTGCACGCAAGTCGCCCGGCCACATATAGATTTGACGAGATCAGTAAGCGTACCTAAGATAAAGCTAGCCATGGTGGGGTTTGTTCGCTCAATGAAGACTATGTGGCGATAAAGCTAGCCATGGAGAGGTTTGTTCGCTCAATGAAAACTATGTGGCCTGTCTACTTATCCATGACTTTAGTAGGTTTCCCGTTGACAAAGTGTTTTTTTTAATTTAATTTTTTGATTTTCGAATGTATTGAGTGAATGGATATGAAGTGATCACATAAATTATATTGGAGTTAAATAAATTACTGCAACTGTTTAGCGGGAATGGGGATTGCAGGATGGTTGCGATTCAACACCATACATTGAAAAACTCATATGAGGTGTTATGTTGTTTCTTCTTAAATTTCTGAGTGATGAAGTTTACCTGCACGCAAGTCGCACGGCCACATATAGATTTGACGAGGATCAGTAAGCGTACCTAAGATAAAGCTAGCCATGGTGGGGTTTGTTCGCTCAATGAAGACTATGTGGCGATAAAGCTAGCCATGGAGAGGTTTGTTCGCTCAATGAAGACTATGTGGCTTGTCTACTTATCCATGACTTTAGTAGGTTTCCCGTTGACAAATTGTTTTTTTTTTAATTTAATTTTTTGATTTTCAAATGTATTGAGTAAATGATTATGAAGTGATCCGCATAAATTATATTGGAGTTGAATAAATTACTGCAAGTGTTTTGCGGGAATGGGGATTGCAGGATGGTTGCGATTCAACACCATACATTGAAAAACTCATATGAGGTGTTATGTTGTTTTTTCTTAAATTTCTGAGTGATGAAGTTTACCTGCACGCAAGTCGCCCGGCCACATATAGATTTGACGAGGATCAGTAAGCGTACCTAAGATAAAGCTAGCCATGGTGGGGTTTGTTCGCTCAATGAAGACTATGTGGCGATAAAGCTAGCCAAGGAGAGGTTTGTTCGCTCAATGAAGACTATGTGGCATGTCTACTTATCCATGACTTTAGTATGTTTCCCGTTGACAAAGTGTTTTTTTTTTTAATTTAATTTTTTGATTTCCGAATGTATTGAGTGAATGGATATGAAGTGATCGCATAAATTATATTGGAGTTAAATAAATTACTGCAACTGTTTAGCGGGAATGGGGATTGCAGGATGTTTGCGATTCAACACCATACATTGAAAAACTCATATGATGTGTTATGTTGTTTTTTCTTAAATTTCTGAGTGATGAAGTTTACCTGCACGCAAGTCGCTCGGCCACATATAGATTTAACGAGGATCAGTAAGCGTACATAAGATAAAGCTAGCCATGGTGGGGTTTGTTCGCTCAATGAAGACTATGTGGCGATAAAGCTAGCCATGGAGAGGTTTGTTCGCTCAATGAAGACTATGTGGCCTGTCTACTTATCCATGACTTTAGTAGGTTTTCCGTTGACAAAATGTTTTTTTTTTAATTTAATTTTTTGATTTTCGAATGTATTGAGTGAATGGATATGAAGTGATCACATAAATTATATTGGAGTTAAATAAATTACTGCAAGTGTTTAGCGGGAATGGGGATTGCAGGATGGTTGCGATTCAACACCATACATTGAAAAACTCATATGAGGTGTTATGTTGTTTTTTCTTAAATTTCTGAGTGATGAAGTTTACCTGCACGCAAGTCGCCCGGCCACATATAGATTTGACGAGGATCAGTAAGCGTACCTAAGATAAAGCTAGCCATGGTGGGGTTTGTTTGCTCAATGAAGACTATGTGGCGATAAAGCTTGCCAAGGAGAGGTTTGTTCGCTCAATGAAGACTATGTGGCCTGTCTACTTATCCATGACTTTAGTAGGTTTCCCGTTGACAAAGTGTTTTTTTTTAATTTAATTTTTTGATTTTCGAATGTATTGAGTGAATGGATATGAGGTGATCGCATAAATTATATTGGAGTTAAATAAATTACTGCAAGTGTTTAGCGGGAATGGGGATTGCAGGATGGTTGCGATTCAACACCATACATTGAAAAACTCATATGAGGTGTTATGTTGTTTCTTCTTAAATTTCTGAGTGATGAAGTTTACCTGCACGCAAGTCGCCCGGCCACATATAGATTTAACGAGGTCAGTAAGCGTACATAAAATAAAGCTAGCCATGGTGGGGTTTGTTCGCTCAATGAAGACTATGTGGCGATAAAGCTAGCCATGGAGAGGTTTGTTCGCTCAATGAAGACTATGTGGCATGTCTACTTATCCATGACTTTAGTAGGTTTCCCGTTGACAAAATGTTTTTTTTTTTAATTTAATTTTTTGATTTTCGAATGTATTGAGTGAATGGATATGAAGTGATCACATAAATTATATTGGAGTTAAATAAATTACTACAAGTGTTTAGCGGGAATGGGGATTGCAGGATGGTTGCGATTCAACACCATACATTGAAAAATTCATATGATGTGTTATGTTGTTTCTTCTTAAATATCTCAGTGATGAAGTTTACCTGCACGCAAGTCGCCCGGCCACATATAGATTTGACGAGGATCAGTAAGCTTACCTAAGATAAAGCTAGTCATTGTGAGGTTTGTTCGCTCAATGAAGACTATGTGGCGATAAAGCTAGCTATGGTGAGGTTTGTTCGCTCAATGAAGACTATGTGGCATGTCTACTTATCCATGACTTTAGTAGGTTTCCCGTTGACAAAGTGTCTTTTTTGGTTTTTTTTTTTAATTTAATTTTTTGATTTTTGAATGTATTGAGTGAATGGATATGAAGTGATTGCATAAATTATAGCGGAGTTAAATAAATTAATGAAAGTGTTTAGCGAGAATGGGGATTGCAGGATGGTTGCGATTCAACAGCATACATTGAAAAACTCATATGAGGTGTTATGTTGTTTCTTCTTAAATTTCCGACTGATGAAGTTTACCTGCATGCAAGTCGCCTGGCCACATATAGATTTGACGAGGATCAGTAAGCGTACCTAAGATAAAGCTAGCCATGGTGGGGTTTGTTCGCTCAATGAAGACTATGTGGCGATAAAGCTAGCCATGGTGAGATTTGTTCGCTCAATGAAGACTATGTGGCATGTCTACTTATCCATGACTTTCGTAGGTTTCCCGTTGACAAAGTGTCTTTTTTTTCTTAATTTAATTTTTTTGATTTTCGAATGGATTGAGTGAATGGATATGAAGTGATCGCATAAATTGTATTGGAGTTAAATAAATTACTGCAGTGTTTAGCTGGAATCAGGATTGTAGGATGGTTGCGATTCAACACCATACTATCATGTAGGTATATATGCAGTTAGTTTCCTTAAAAACACTGATGTATGTATGTTGTTTGGTTGGTTAGTTGCAGGGGGGAGCAAAAGTAGGGCGGCTTGAGAAGAGGAATGTAAAACTGGGGATGCTCCTCCTGGTGATAAACATTTGTATTACACTTTTAAGTGTAGCGGTGTTGACATGGTGGAGGAGGAAAGAGTTCTTCCACATAAACTCCCAAATCTTACTCCCTAAATTTTACTCCATGATGTGCGTTCTGATAAGCTACTTTTTTCATGTGGATCCCAATACAAAAGTATTTTGTTTGTGGGAGTATAAGTTGGAAGTATAAAATGGGAGTACACATAGTATTTTCCAGGAGGAAAGTAATGATGTGTGTAAAAGCAGCACTGATCAAGGAGAACGAAGCCACAGAAGAGGCGGGGAGGAAGAGCATGAGCAAGAGCGTGGCGGTGGCCAATGCAAGCCACGAGGTGCGGACTGCTCTTGTAGGGATAACTGGTTTATAAGAAAAGAAAAAAGCCCATATCAGCATAGATTACCTGTAACTTGTAAATAACTTGTCAAAACATAGTTATTGAAAGGTTAGGGTGCAACATGAAGAATCCATAATAATTCATGGTGCAGGATGACACTTTAGTCTATCTTATATTATATTTGTCATGTGCAATCCTTTGAATTTACAATTTTATATTTACTTATTATTATTTATTTATTTATTTATTTATTTATTTATTTATTTGTGGTTTGATTGGTTGGGCAATTGGGTTGATTGTGACCTAATTTACATTTAACTTGTAATGGTTATAGGTCTCTTATTATGTAAAAATTTAATCCTGCAATCTAACCATGAGGCATACTTATTGTCATTAATGAAGCTTTAAACACTATGAAAGGGGAGCAAGTTAGCTTAGTGAAGGGTGGCAAAACAACCAGCTGTGAGCAGGAAAGGAAACTGCCATTTCATTTCCAGAGGGACTCTCTTGTTCCCCCATCTACACCTTTCAAGAATTGAGTGAGGGCCCTATAATCACAAATGCACTGTTGAGAAAACCACATCCTATATCCTATATAAATGAAAAATAAGATGAAACCAACAACCTTTTGGAATAGAATTAAACAAATCCCATAAAACAGGGGTCCCTCCATTTCTGTTAATGTTGTCTCCAGCACTGGGGACACAGTTGAAATGATGATGGGTTTGATTATGGAAACAGAGGACTCATCAACTGTTCATCTTTTGCTATATCTGTAAAAGCTGGCTCTGATGAGTCAATGTAAGTTTCAGCTGTCCAACACATTCTATGAACACAGCTACAGGTCCCTACATCTTGCTGCATTATTGCTTTGCTTTTGTTACAAAAATGATGGCATTGCAAGAAAAATATGGCTTGCTTTAAAAATAATTTTTTTTAAAATTCCTACTCCGCATTATATTACACCCGAATTTAGGTTAAAGGTATATCCCGACAATCCTAGATATAAATATTTATAGTTGTTTTTTGAATGACGAGGAGAATCCACAGTCACTACACTAGAGAGTATGCATTAAGAAATTCTCCCCTTGTAAGTTGTAACTCTAGCCGGTAAATGACTACAAGAAGGTAAAAAGAAAACCTGCAACCACTATTTAACCTAGTCGGCAAATAATCACAATGAGGTAAAGGGAAACTCGCAACCAGTGTTGTAAAAATCAGCCTAGGCGGCCCTAGGTCAATGCGATTTTAACCCTAGGCGGGTTTTAGTTGGCTGGCCGACTAGGTGCCGATTTGGGCACCTAACTCCGCCTAGTTGGTTCTTAACTTGGGCGAGTGGTATTTTTTGTCTGCTTGGTTGCTCCTCTTATATATTCCTCTAGCCATGTACTCAACTAACTATCTAACATATGTAGTTGACTAGTTTGTTGGATTATAATAGTCTAACAACTTACAACCCTGAGTGGGAAAAGTGAAGACGATATACTCAAATTACTTGAACGCCTAGGAGGCGCTGCCTAGGCACCCGACTAGTGCCTAACACCTTTTGCAACATTGCTTGCAGCCACTACCTAAGGATATGCACTGAGTAAATCCTATCGTGTGACCCTAGCCGACAAATGAGGAGGTAAAGTGAAACTCATAGCCACTACTTGATGATGTGCATTGAGTAACCCCACTTTGTAACCCTAGTTGGCAAATGACCACAAGGAGTTAAAGGGAAATCCACTATCACTAACTGGGGTGTTCATTGAGTAAACCCCGCATTGTGATCCTAACCAGCAAATGACCACAAGGAGATAAACCAACTTAAGTTGGTCATAGCTGACCATCTCAAACCAAGACGGCTAATAGGCCATTCTCACTGGGAATCAAACTTGAAACCTTAACAACTGACTAACTTAACTGAGATTGCTCCTAACAATCTTGTATATAAATATTTATAGCTGCTTTAAGTCATGTTCATCAAAATTATGAATAGTTTGTTCACTTCTTCTCCTGAGCATGTCTACTGATGAACATTCACGATTTTAATAGATAAGACTTAATTTACATTTATGATGAATGTCTGTACAAAGGGGTACAAAGGATGGTGAGATGGGGTGCACAATATACCAGTTGTTCACATGGTAAATATGAAGATGAGTAAAAATTTATTTCCAGGTGATCTACAAAACAATAATGCAGACTGTCAAATTCTTCAAACACTTGAAACATGTTCATTCAGTGTCTGCAGCAGAGCTTCAAACAATTAACTTGATCATTCAGAAGAGAAACTTAACTCGTCGATCGATCTACACATCTCTGACTCTTTTGCCCCCTCGTCGCCTCTCTCCCCAGCTTCATCGGGCTCCTGTTTCCCGAGAGCTGCTGCTGCAATGCATTCTTGGAATCTAAAGCAGCTGACGAGATGGTCATTTGTTATCCCGGCAGCCTGCATGAACGAGTAAATGACTGTTGGCCCGACGCCCCTAAACCCTCTCCTCACTAGGTCCTTGCTAATCACATCAGCTTTTGGCGTTTTCACTGGAACCTGACGAGGATAACTGAATCTGCTAACCGTCGGTTTGTGGTTCACAAAACCCCAGATATAATTGTCGAACGACCCAAATTCTTGTATAATCTGGGAAAAAAAACGGAAAGGAATCACTAGGATAATGATACAACTGTTCTGCAGTTATTATTACAATGACAAGATAGAACTCCTATAATGACAATGTCCTTTGCCTATGTAGACCCAGAAAAACCCCGGGCAGTCAGAAACAACACTTAATTTCCACCTAATCCGCCCTATATTGTACATTTTCTTGTCTCAAGCAAATGCAACAAGAATAAAAGAAGTGGTCCATATCGGGAAAACAAAAATCACGAGGATTTGGCATGGGGTATGAACAGTACTCGAAACAGTAGTAACTACATCAAAGCAGTGATGAGAAGACTAGATTCATTGCTTCCGTTTATTGGCTTTAAATACATATGGCGGCAGATCCATATTAACAACTTCACAACTTGTGGTGCTCGGTTTTTAACTATTATTAACTCGCAATGGATCTAGCTAGGAAAGGCTCTTATAGTCTTGATTACTAGGACTAGTTAGATTTAACCTTAAAAGTTAAGCATCACATTAAACCTGAGTTACCGTTAAAAAAAAAAAAAAAAGTTTATACCTTGGACACTTGACGAGCATTCTCAATGATGGTTCGGAGTTTTAGCTCTGACAATAGTGAGCTTGCAGTACTCCCGGGTGCTATTATTTTCCTCTCGTTAAACTTTGCAACAGCTACAGGGTCGAAATCTGCAAATACTTCCCTGCATCAAGAAACTTATCATAATATAAGGAATTTTAAGGAATTAAAGGGAACAAGGTAAAATAGAAAAAAGGGTTATCCATTTTTCTGTTGTGAATGTTTAATACAGAAATATTTTAGATAAACAGGATCTTAAAGCTCGGGGGCACCTGAATATGTGTCTTTTACTGAGAATAGAAGGCCATGTAAGTTCCGCCAGAGCCCCACATAGAACGAGGAGCTCAAATAATTTCCTACAAAAATTCAACAATAGTTAGCAAAGGGCGAAATCCTCCGTTCTATGAAGAATGCTGCAAAAGACATTGCTTTGCAGTGACATACTTATCATCATGTACAGGAACTCCCCATTCTTCATCATGGAAATTAGCATAAGACGGGTCTGGTTGAACCAAATAAAAACAAAACCGTGAGATATCAGAAATTCAAATTACAGACAGTTTGCATATAAATAGACTTTTTTTTAGTACTACTGACTCTGTTACAATGTAGTATCTGTTCATAGCTACTTTCTCAACCTACTGAAGCACAAAGAGTCAATATTGTCCCCACCGTTCTTTTATTTTTCTAACTTTGATGCCGGATATTCTAGATAATATAAAGAATTAACATGCAAAACCACTTGTTCTTGATTCATATAGCTTAGAAAAAGTCCATACAAAAGTTTAAAGCAAATCTAAACCGGGAAATCAGTTTTGAAGTGACTAAACAACAGGGTTCCATGTCAAACAAGGATAGACTCGGCTTCAAATTCCAAGTCTTTGCATCTAATTCTTACTTCATATCACTTCTGTATCTGTATAATTGAAGTGTTTGTCTTAATCTTTTCTCCGTTGACATAAATTTGTTCTGGTTCTCAGTGTTACTCACGAATGGCATAAAGCTTTTCCAAAATATCATTACTATCAGCGCATTATGAACTATTAGTTTCACATCTATTGGCAATAGCTACTAACACAGTGCAATTCTAGTAATCGGGGCTAATGGTGCAGGCTTAAACAAGTCAAGATAACAAATTTCCAACATTCATAAACGTCAAAATGTTATTAAACTAGAGAAACGAGAACGAACCAGTATTTGGTGTCACCCAGGCACACCTTTTCTTGGAGTGTACACTATCAGGTGAATGTGATGAATCCGAAACAACAACAACTTTAGACCTCGAGCTCGACTGCTTCCTCCGGGAAGAAGCACTGCTGCTTGTTCTATATATCTGACCCGTGGAAGCCCTGCTACGGAATGAATCTGTTGAAGCATCGGATGAACATGACGCACTGAGAGACAAATTAGAATGCATCAAGAACTCGTGTCTACGAAGCATGGATTGAACACCACTCTTATCCTTCTCCACCATATCTCCCTTTTTCGAAGGCTTAGAAAGAGGTCTTTGAACACCTCCAGCAGGTACATAAACTGCCATTTCTTCTGAATCAGACACATTCTTAGACCTTACCCTTGTAGCCCCTGACATTGGATTAACAAAAATTTCAACTTTAGCTTTCCAAATTCCTTCACTTTACTGATTCTAGCAAGCTTTTACAGTCGCCAAGTTGTCAAATCCCCAAGCGAAAATATTGAATATCTTCCAAAACAACTGCATTGCAATAATCCCTTCCAAATACACCAAATGTTGAAAGGAAAACAGCCCAAAACAATGACCCTCAAAATCCATTAAAATTGCAGAAATCACACAACAAATCCAAAATAGGTCCTGAAAACTCCCACAAGAAAGCCAAATGGAGTCAATCCAATACACCCCATTACCACATTCCTGCTAACCACCCCCAAATTCCCAAAGATAGTTTCTCAAAAACCAAGCTTCAAGAACCCCATTTCAGGATCCTCCAAGAACTCAGCACTCCCACATTTGTATCTCCATCACCACTGACTAAGACAAATTTCTGGTCCACTCATTTACATACAAAGAAAGATGCTCAGCATATCAAGTATCAACTAAGCTACTCAATATATCTATTGTTTATTTTATTTTATGTGTATATATAGAAAGATACAAGTATTTCAACTATACTATGTAAAGACAGCTCTGACTCTCTGAGTGTTGGTGGGTGGGGGAAGAATTGGTATAAGAGTGCACCTAAAAAAAGGAATATATTCCTTCTCTCTCTCTCTCTCTCTCTCTCTCTCTCTCTCAGAGTGCAACAAGGAACTGAAATATTGTCTTTTCAGTGCTACACTATTTTATACATGTATTGGATAGGTTTAGAAACAGAAAAGGCTGACATTCAAGCATTCAACGACTGATAACAATGATGAACGCTATTAAAAATTCATTCTTTTAATATTCTTTTGCTTGTCGAGTGGGATTTTTGTTAAAAAGAAAGTGTAATATACAAAATGTGGGGAAATGGAGGTTTGGGTTTGATCCGTAGAGTAGAAGGAGAAATGCTTTTGCTGTGAACTTGTGGAGAGAGAGAGAGAGAGAGAGAGAGGAGACAGCGAAACAAGAAGCGAATCAGAGAGAGACAAGAGAGGGTTGTTGCCTTAAGTCCTTAACTTATTTTTTGGGAGTGAGTGACGGTGACCGGCTGGACCGGCACAATAGCTACCATGTTGTCGGGGACGGTTCAGCCGGTCCAATTTGTGAAAATAAATAACACTTTTAGTCTATTAATTATAGAGCATATATCAATTTTGATCTCACGAGTATTAGTAAAATGACAATTTTGGTTCACATGTTTAATTCATACCAATTTTCATCAATGATTATTGTTTTAGTACCAATTTTCATCCACGATTATTATTTTAGTACCAATTTTCATCCACGACTATTGTTTTAGTACCAAAATTCATCACCCCGATCACTCATTCGTTCAAGACATGTCGAAATCTACAAAATTTTAAGGGTATTTTTGTCATTTCCAACTTAAGATCCCAATTTGAGTCATCGTTTTCAACTTAAGATCCCAATTTGAGATGAATAATCAGATTTAAGCCTTAAGATCGATCTCAATTCGTAGTTCCCCACATCATCTTACCTTAATTTGAAGAGGAGAACTGTGAATTGGGATCAACCTTAGGACTTAAATCTCTTTATTCAAGCTCAACTTGGGATCTTAATTTGAAAATGACGAAAACACGCTTAATAATTTCATATTTTGACTTTTCTTAAACGGAGGGGGTGACCGGTGTGATGAATTTTTGGCACTAAAATAATAGTCTTGGATGAAAATTAGTAATAAGACAATAGTCATTGATGAAAATTAGTAGGAATTAAATATGTGGATCAAAACTGTCATTTTGCTAATACTCGTGGGACCAAAATTGGTATTTGCTCATTAATTATAATAATATGAGCAAATACATATTTTGGTCCTACGAGTATTAGCAAAATAACGGTTTTGGTCCACATGTTTAATCCCTACAAAATTTCATCCATGACATTTGTTTTAGTACCAATTTTTATCAATGACTATTATTTTAGTACCAAAATTCATCATGCAAGTCATCCCCTTCATTTAAGACATGCCAAAATCTAAAGATTTCAATGACATTTTTTTATCATTTTCAACTTAAGATTCCAATTTGAGCATGAATAAAGGGATTTAAGCCCTAAGACCGATCTCAATTCGCAGTTCTCATCCTCATCATACCTTAATTTAAGGAGGAGAACTGTGAATTAGGATAGATCTTAGGGCTTAAATTTTTCTATTCATGCTCAAATTGTGATCTTAATTTGAAAATGTCGAAAATACCCTTAATAATTTCATATTTCGTGCGTGTCTTAAACGAATGGGTGACCGGCTAATTTTGGCACTAAACTAATAGTCGTGGATAAAAATTGGTACTAAAATAATAATCGTGGATAAAAATTAGTATGAATTAAACATGTGGAGCAAAACTGTCATTTTGCTAATAGTCATTGGATCAAAATTGGTATTTGCTCTAATAATATAGTGAATTCAATTTCACAATTATAACCATCTCTATTTTTTATTTTTTAATTATTAATATAGAAGTAATTTTTCTTATGATTTTTATTAGTAGTTGGTATGGTACTGCTAATTAAATTTTTTTGAACCTAAAAGTCCCATTAATTATATAATTATCTAAACGTGTCATAAATCAAACATAATAATACCTATATCAGCATCATACTCGGTTAACATGCCTGCAAGTTCTTTAACTCAATCCAAAACCTAATTAATATATTCAAAAATAATAATTTTATATATTTTTGGCTAATAAATGTATAATACTTAATTTTTTCTAAAAATTTGTTTAGTACAACATGAAATATGGGTTCGAGTACGAGTACTTCATTGTTACCTTAATTCAAGACAAGTATTCATTTATATATTTGAATATGATTAGTCACTATATAAACTTGTACAGTGTACTTATGCAATTTGACTTGTTGTCCTCTCTAATATTTATTCAATCAAATTATTAAAGACAATGAATTTATATATAAAAGTTTAATTTTTAAGGCTAAAATTGTAAAATCACCTCAATCCTCTCATATTTCATTTTTTTTTTTTTTTCACATGAGAGCATTTCATGCATTCACATTATTATTATTTGGGTTAAAGTCATAGAAATTGTTGAAAATTATGTATTTTGTTTTAAAAGTTTGTCTATTATATGAAAAAAATATAGGAAGAAAGAATAAAACTAAAATAAACATACAAATTTAACCATGAGAAATTAAGTTTTGATATATAAATTAATTATTTTTAACAATTTCATTTTAAATTTTTAATAGAAAAGAAAAGGAATAAGGGTCAAATAGGTCATCCAATTGCACACTAACATGCAATTAGATCACCAAACTCAAAAAAGCTACAATTAGGTCCCTGAACTATACAAATTCATGCAATTTCACAAAAAATTAAAAGTTCTCCATGACTGGCCGGAGTCCGGAGACTCCTTCGTCTACGGCTGTTTTTTTTAAAAATAATTTATTATTTAAAATTATTAAAATAAAAATTTAAAAATTATTTGTAATTCTGTAACCGGCACAACAGGTAAACAAGTCATTTTTGGTGAAATTGCATGAATTTGAATAGTTCAGGGACATAATTAGAACTTTTTTGAATTGGGTGGTCTAATTGCATTTTAGTGTGTAGTTGGATAACCTATTTGACCTTTATTCCCAAAAAAAAAAAAAAATTATTAGGAGAGAATCAAAACTTGATATTACAACATACTTTGTCGGTCGGGTCGACCCGTCCAAAATTCCTAATTAATCTCACATTCTCAAGTCTGTCGCCACACGGCCCACACTCCTCTGCTCTCCACGGCTCTGCTCCACCGCCGCCCCCGCCGCCAACCGCCCAGCTCAGTCCAAGCCTCCTTCCTCTGTCTTCGATATCTCCTTCTTCGCTCTACACTTTGTCGCGAAATAGACGACCACAGCTCCTCCTGAGGTTTGCCTTCTCATCACCGCCCCTCCGCCATTGTATATATATTTGTATGTATACATTAATATAGTTATATAATGTTTATATATACATAATACACTGTTGATTAAGAATTAAAAAAAAAAATCAAAAGGAGGGGGTGGTGTGGCGTGGCGGGAGCCGCCTAGCCCGCGGGCCTACGTGGGGGAACTGAGCCAGTAAACCCTAGGCCCGTTAAGGAGTGGACTTTTTTGGCCTGTCCTGTTTAGGCCCACGGGCTGGCGGGCTTTGGCTAGTCCCGTCCCGCCAACCCATATTAACAGCTCTATGTACACTTTTCACAAATCAATGGCATGAACCTCAGGGGTGAATGTGAAATTATTGAAAAGTAGCAGAACCTTGTACAGCGCAGCATTTTGTGATTTGTCTGTGTGTGGGGTTTAGTGTTTAGGGTTTAAGCTCATCATCTCTTCCCGCCATCTCATCTTCACAGCTGCCGGAAGCCTCAATTGTCTCCCCCATCACAAAGCAGTTGATACAACTCTTGGTTGCTGCTTGTGTGAGCCGTAATTTCAGTTTCAAATATGGGGAAACAACGGTTTACCAGAAAGACAGGTTTCCTGCTTGATATCTTCAATCATCCCTACTATTTTGATTGAGATTGATTTTTTTTTTTTAAAGGTGCATTTTCAGCTTGTGTATTAATGACAGTTAACATTTGATTTTTATTTTTATTTTTACCTGTAATTGGAAAAATATAGGTGGAAAGAGACGAAAAAATCAAGAGCCCTTTCGGAAGAACAAGCGCCGTGCCAAAGATGAAAAAATTGAAGAAAGTCCATTGTCAAGTGCTTCAGGTTAGTTGATTAAAGTACTCCATATAATATTTGGAAAAAGAAAATATTTTATTTGCAAAAGTTGGTATCTTTTGTTTTTTTTTTCATAGATGATTCATCGGATGAGAACATAGAGGAAGAATCAGGAATTTCGGATGAAAAAGAAGAAATAGTGAGTTATAGAGAGCCCACAATGTATGAAAACCTGTTGCGGTCATTGAGGTAAATAATCTCTGTTCTATTGCAATGCTAAAGGTTAAACACTTGCCAATATTCTCAATCCTGAAGTTGGAAACTTTAGGGGTATTCACCGTCGCCAGACAATCACCTTGTTGCATGTTTTAGTGTCTATCCTTAAGTCCATAAGAGAGACTATATGCAATGCAAAGGCTAGTCTCCTGTTTATGTTGAGAATTTTGAATTTGGGAAATATAAAGCCTTAAAGAATGTCAGTTTAATAAGTATTTTAATTCTTGAATGTCCATGAGAATCCTTGATGTTTTCTGGAAGGAGTTAAATGGAATGCTATTAAGTCATAAAGCCCATTCTCCCTCCTGCACTTAAAGTTGTATTTCATCTCAGACTTTGTGATTGAATTGGTTTACTTTTGTATAACTATCCCACCCAACCTTCACCTTAAAACTATTCTTCTGATTATTGAGATATTTCCAACATTTTGGAACATCTAACTTCATAGTTCTCAAGGAATTGAAGTACCAAAGGAGTAAGTAACTTTCCGTGTTGATATAGGCTACGCAATATCCTTTCCACTTGCACAATGTTCTAGAAGCCCATAAGATGGACACATGTAGATTTTATTTGTATGTATAGATGTATAGATTTGCATCTGCATGTGTGTGCACTTGTTGTTGTCCTTCATACTTCTTTAGCTAAATGACATGCGCTTGGTAGGTTTTGACTTTGAATTTTCAGTGAAAGAATTGAGTTGCATATTAATATTAATAGTTAACTAGATGCCAAGTTAAGGGCTACTCTAAATAGGGAAAGCCGGAAAGCCAATGGGGACTACTCTTAATTGAAGAGGAGGAAAGTTTACTTACCCAAAAAGACTTAAGATGAAGAGAGTATACTTAGTAGCCAATGAAATGTATTGTATCACAAACTATTTTTCTTTACCTCTAGTGGGCATGAGCTATGTGGTGGGAGCGGTTAATGATGGTATTTCTGGTTTTCTCTGTTCATTTGCTATGAGATTTATTAAATGAAAATATAACAATTAAAGAATTCATTTGATCAAGTAATGTATTCCTTATTCCTTCACAAATTGCTTTGCCTTGTGTAGGCAAAAAGAAGCGGTTTCAACTAACTCAGAAGACGAATTAGATGATGATCTGGAATCAGGTGATGGATCTGGAGAAGGTGAGGAACCTAATGACTGGTGAAAAGCTTTGACAATATATTTTTAGTTTTGCAAACTTCCTTTTGTTTTATATCCCTCCAATTGTAAGTTACGGTAACTTCCCATTGTCTTCAATTGCTTTCTTAAATGGCCACATGTAATTTGTTGTTTAGAGGGTAGTTTTAGTATTGAAAACTGAGGCCATGAGGTTGTGGAGATAAAAAGATGTCCTCTGGTGGAATGGGATGCTTGTGTTCATTTCTAAATCTTTCAATTAATCTAATATCTTCTTTCTTCAAATGGTAGAGTGTGAAAGCGAGTCTTCGGGACCTAGTGATGTCGGAGATGACCACCGAGAATCTGATTTGGGAGTTGATGCTGATTCTGAGGCCTCAGATACAGATGAAGAATATGATGTGAGAGTAAATGATCAGCCTGTTGAGGAGCCATCAATAAACACAAGGTGCACGAGTTTGAGATGCTCTTTCATCTATTTGTTTTCTTTCGTTCTTCTAAATTGTTATGATCACTGCAACGCTTTAATAGTTACCATACATTTGATATACCATAGTATAATTCCAATATTCACCCCCTTCTAGCCCCATATGAACCGTTAGTGATGTACCAAAAAAAAACAAAACTGCATGATATATTGTTGTGGAGTCTAATTCATTCTGTTACCTTAGTTCTCTGATGGCTGCTTACTTGGCAATATGGCTCTAGTATGCAATGGAAATTATTATTCCTTCTACCTATTAAAAAGCAGCATTTTTTTTTTAGAATGATTATTGAACTTTTGCTTTTCATGTGTGTTATAGTGCAGTCTTCACCTAGAAAACACGGACTCCAAATTTATGGATGTCTTCCAGAGATTGACACACCAGGACATGTTGGACACTCCAACTTTCGAGTCCTATGTTTTTAACAATTTTATATTTATTTATAGGAAACATGTATTCAGGTCAATTCACAAACATTGATATTTGGGCACAATTTGGCCACTGTTTTAATCAGATTCAGGGGCAAATTCATAAATTGATTGAATTTTGATAAGATATACCCTGTGTAAATTTTTCATTCCTTGATATGTATTGTATCCATGCTATAACTTTCCTTTCATTTATAGTGGTAAATTAAAACGCTTGTTAAATTTTGAATTTTATATTTCTATATCCAATGCTAGTTGAATTGCTGCAAATGACTCTTAAATTCAGGAATACATGTCTTTTCTAAACTGCATGCTTGATTTTTATACTTGTAGCACTTTTCACAATCATTTGAACTACAAGCTATCTAAAGAAGAGGCTAACAAGCTTTTGGAAAAGAAATTGAACTACAAATGGGAGTCAGAGGCGTCAAATTGCAAGTGGAGGGGTACAGGTGAATGCTTTTTGAAGGTAAGTCTGTCTTGTTTTGCCTATAATTATATGCCTCCTTCCCCTCTGAACTGGTATATTTCTTGGGATACCATTCTTGCATTATTCATTTATGTGTGGTTGTTATAAAGTTCGAGAACATTTATTTATTGATATTAAATTTTTTTTTTCCATTTTTGCACCTTTCTGATTGAATTTCATATATATATATATATATATATATATATATATATATATATATATATATATATATATATATATAGATACATACATACATACATACATAGAATACATTACCACCTTATCCTGTGGGTTGGAAGTTGGAACTGCATTCCAACATACTGGCTGTCTGCCTGTCTCGTTGACCTATAAATCCTGATGATTTGACAAGGGATTGTATTTGGACAATTGATATTTTTTTTTCTGTGTAATTCAATTAGTTCTTTCCTTGTATTGCCATTTTAGTCATCAGGTTGATTTTCCAGCCAAATTTTGTAACATGCTTCCATTGTGATTATGTTAGTTTTAGACTTTTAGTGAATGGTACACTTGCCTTACGCATGTGTGTGTGTGTATTTCTCGAGAAGAAAAAAAGCCTGATACTTTGTGCTGATGACTAGATCCAACTACTGTTCCTGAGTTTCAGCCATGAGAATTTTTAACATTTTCTTGTACAACAGTACATTAAAATGTCTTATACTGCAACATATTAAATTCATGTATTTGTTGTCCAGTTCCTTCAAAGTTTTCTATTGGTTAGGTTCTAAAACATCTTTCTTTGCCCTTCTATATGGTGTGCAGGAAGTAGATGCAAGTTCTGGTCTCAAACCAATAATGTATAAGCATTGGTTGGACATTTATAAGGAGTCTGGCAGCCAAGATTTTCATTCATCCAGGCAGAGATCGTTCTTCTCAATTTGTAAGTGAAGCTGATATATGGCTTGCTGATTTGCGTACAAATGCAAAAAAGAAAGAGTTGATAAGCTTTATCTTTTCTATGCTTGGTTCTCCTTTCCAGACCCCATAGTTTTTATTGCTATCCTTTCTGTTGGAGGGGGAAGGGGGATTTCTTTCAGAATCCATTTCTGTGATTAACTTTTTCTTTCATGCTATCTAGTGTTGTAATTGCTCATTATATCTCTGATACGTAGGCAACAGCTATCGAGATATATTGCATCATAACAAGAAGCCATTTTATCTCAAAGGCCGTGAAGAGGATGCTAGCATCATGGATGCATATATTGCGCACTCAGTAAGATCATTCTTTTCCATTATAGACATCGTTTTCTTCAGTTTTCTTGCTGAAATTCAAAATTCCATCCCCATCCTTTGATAAGTCAAAGATATACTGTTTTGCAGCTCAATCATGTATTCATGACTAGGGACCTTGTGAAGAAGAATGAAGCAAAACTAGCTAAGCTAGAAGGGAAAGGTGAAGCTATGAATAATGAAGCTTTTCTTGACCATGGGTTTACTCGTCCTAAGGTATTCTTTCTGTGTTGAGTAACAAGTGATGAACTTGAGTTTTCTAAGGTGAAGATACGTTTGGCATGAACTATATGCTAGTATAGGGGTTCTATGTGCATATATTTATTTTATTTCCCAGCTGAAATTATTCCAAAAGCTGATCCTTTTCAAAGGACATTCTCTTATCATATTTCTTTATAGTTTACATAAGCTTACAGGATTGCCTTGCTGGTCACTGATGCCACTTTTACAAGTTAACTGAATTTCATATCACCTTATGTAGTAATCTGATATTTATTGAACCAGCTTTAATTAGTTGTAGTTTTTGTTTAGGTTTTGATTCTTCTGCCACTTGCAAGCATTGCACTTCGAGTAGTTCAGAGGTTGATCGAGTTAACACCTCCAAAGTACAAGGTATATCAACTTGTTTGAATTAGGCAGCAAGAAGCTCATTTTACATATTCAAAGTTGTCAAACCTCATTTGTCATTTTGGGGAAAAGTGGGAACCTTATATGTGCTCATAGAGTCACTGCTTTTGAGTATTAATAGCAATATAGTATGTTAACCCATCCCATTTGAAATTGTCCGCAAAATTTAATTTAATACTCCGTATTATAGGAACTGCTATTACTTGAATTATGATTATGATGTCAATGCATGTGTGATACAATTATACTAACATAAGGAATGAATTTCTGGCTATTTGGCTAGGTCTGTTCATTCATGTGTCAGGATTAGTATCGTGGGAATGGTTTTCAGATGTGGTTTTGGATGGGCTTGTTAGTGTAGTTGTTAGCTTAGTTTTTAATGTTATGTGATTGGACAATCTTTGTTAGGACCCATTTATACCAGTCTTACATCATGATGATTACAAATTCTAAATATGCTATACTACTGACTTGTCAACGACTGAGATGAGTTTTTAATTTATAGATGACTTGTCAACTAGACAACTGCTGAGATGATATCCTTTACACTTTATGCACTTATTATTCTCCCTCGTTTTTTAATGGAAAGGCTCCAAGAAACCAAACTCTAACTCTGGAATTGCTTGTTGCTTTTATTTGATTGTCTGTAATTTTAGTCCCAAATTTTTGTGGTGTTGGTTTCCTCAGACTAACATAGAGGAGCGTGAACGCTTTTTTCGAGAGTTTGGAAGTGCGGCAACTGAAGATGACAATGACGATGGAAAGACCTCTAAACCTTCTGACTACAAAGCATTGTTTGGAGGGAATAACAATGACCATTTCATGTTTGGTATTAAGTTTACCAGGTATGTTTTTTATTTTTGTTTTGTTTTGTTTTTTGTTTTTTTTGTTTTTTTTTTTTTTTTGTTTTGTTTCAGACTTACTTCCTCTTGAAAAAAAATTATATGGAAGCCATGTACAGTACCTCTTATGCTTTTTACTTTTCCATATCCTCCTTTTTATTCATTGTCAATGTTCTTTGTGTGTGTGTGTGTGTGTGTGTGTGTGTGTGTGTGTGTGTGTGTGTGTATATATAGTTTTCATTATTTATTTATTGATATCTTGTAGGAGGAGTATACGATTATATGGTGACTTCTATTCTTCAGATATGATTATTGCGTCTCCTCTTGGTTTAGTCACTGTAAGCTTTCTCATGTGTGCTTCTTTTTAATAATGTGTTACTGTAATTAAAAAATTTGATGATCTGTTGTAATACTTTAATGCTTGGTTACCCTCCATTTCTGGGGATTTGTTTAATAATGTCATGCAAGTCCAAATAAATAAAGTGCACCCCTTTGGTCTTCAGTGTTATGTTTTTATTTTAGTTTATTTGTCATTTTTCATTTGTTATATGTGCTGCTATCATGGTGTACTTGCTCCCATTCTAACATATAACACTTTTTCTCACATATCTATAATTTGACTAGATATCTTTATGTACTTCAGAAAATTGGGGAAGCTGAAGTAAATAAAGAGAAAGATGTCGATTATCTTTCTTCTATAGAGGTAATTCTGTCTCCAGGATTGCACTGATATCTTAATGATGCTCATTACTTTTGTTCAAGTACTTAGGACGAGGTTCATACCTTCTTAAATACTAAGGGAGTTTGTTTTTAAACAGATTCTAATTATTGATCATGCAGATATCATATTAATGCAGGTATGCTACAAACTATTTATGTGCATTTGGTGTATGTATTTGCCTTCTTTTTTTTAATAATAATAATAAATTTGTTTTCCATTTCTTATTTCAAACTATTTTTGGTAGAATTGGTCACATGTGAACACGGTAGTCAAGCAATTGAACCAGATACCTTCTCAGCAGCGTGGAACGGATATTATGCGCATAAGACAATGGTATGTTTGTTATAAGCTGCATTTTTTGTTTGTTGTATTGATTTCCCCAATCCTCTCATTTTCCCATGGGGTCTCTTACCCTCACAAATTGTAAATACTATTTTAAAGATTAATCATATCATCTCTTTGAATTTTGATTTGATTTCAAATGATGACTGTAGGTACTTAGATGGACAAGCACCATTCTACAGACAAACAATGATTTTTAGTTCACATGTAAACCCAGGTGACAAACCTGATATGATCTATTTATGCAATGATAATCCGTTAAGGCAACTATTAAAAACTTCAGTAGTAATAGTGATTAACCTTTCTTTTTCCTTTTTAACCCTTCTGCAGATATCAATGCTTTATTCAACCACCATTGCCTCAACTATGAGGGAAAGGTTTGTATATCATATATTGAGACATTGAGTAGTGTTTTGTTGACATTAATTAAGATCTTATTCTGGTGATAATTGTTGGGCAGCATGAGAATGGTTAAATTTCTAGTAGGATGATTTACCTCTGAGAGTTGGGTTTTCTATCATGATATGTTATAAGTTGCTCTCTCTTTATTTGCATAGTCTTCTCATTTAGATCAACTATTGGGAGCCGGGAGGGTATCCATAATTCCTATTAATGAAAAAAAAATTTCTGACCATGGCATGACCACTTCAACAAGGAGCCATTTATACATGGGCTGAACTTGCAAAACATATTATATGCTTGACAATAATTTTTAAGTCATTGATGTAAACTAAAAACCAAGAGTACCATTAGCACTGCTCTTTTGGTTAGACATTTTCCAGCACTGTTGTAACTTCTCTTTTTATCATTGAGCTTTTACTTTAAATGAATATTCTTATGTAATCATAAGAAGCTAACAAGTAATATAAATCGAAGGAAGAAATGAAGAATTAAATGGGGTTAAGCAAATTTTCCTAAATAAAAGTCGACCATTTCTGTTAAAAGGATTCTCAATTAGGAATTGTCTTTGCAGGTTAAAGTGGTATGTGACAATAAAGGTGTTCTACCAAAAGTAGTGCTTCAAATACGCCAGGTATATTTGATAGGTTTTATATCTACTATATATGGCCAGCTAAACCTATATGCTCCTTGATACTATGTGGGTACTTTTCCTAGGCTGTGCTCAATGATGTCAGATATCATGGTCTCAATTTTCCCAAACAGCTTTGACAAGATTTATATTTATTTTAATTGCTTCTTACTTGATTGGCTTGCATGCTACTGTTTTCCTCCCACCTTCTTTGTTTTGGTTACACTATGCTTTACGCTTTTTGGGTAACAAATTTTTTGTTAGTGTTGTCACAGTGGAATATTTAGTTGTGCACATGCACTTTTCCCGTTCACCCTCAAATGTGTTTTCCTACTTCTTGACCCTACAGGTTTATGAACGTTTCGATACTAAGACAATAGAAGATGCAGATGAATCTCGTTTTGAATATTTTACTAAACAGGTAAGTCTCTCATTTGGTTTATTGGGTTATCTATGTAGACAATGGTCCAATACATAATTTCATGTCTCGCTCCTTCAACTAAGGAATTATTGATTGCATGCTGAAGAGGGCTTGTCACACGGACCTATTTTACTTTAATGATAAAAATCTCCTTCGGTAAGGTAGTCAACCAGGTTGTTCAACTATAAGATATTAAGATGTAAATGAGGTCCACTAGAGATTAAGGAGAGCAATATACAATTCCATTTTTTATATTAGAAGCATAAGTTCATCAGCTTGTAAAGAATGAAAATACGAGTAACTTAAAACTTGGAAAATATAAACATTAAAGTACCTAGTACCTACACGATTCTGTCATTTCAAGATCAGTATTAACCTCAGTGGTGTTTAGTAATTGATTAGTACTATCATCAGTCAGCATTAAGTTATTATGTTCATATGTTGAAGGAAAATAACAAAAGTCTATTCCATTGTATCTTATTCCCTGATTGACTAATTGTTTCAATGTTTTTAAGGGGAAGATTCGTTTCCTTAAGACTGACATGATTACATTAGTGATTTTAAGATGAATCGATTTGAAAATCATTGGCTTTTTATTTAAGATTATATTTTCAAATATAATGTTGAATTTGAGAGGAGAAACTACAGTTTTACATACTCTGTACTTCTGCAGGTGTATCCTAAGATAAAAGATTCAATACAGGTATCTCTTTATTGGGTTTGACAAATACTTATCCTCCTCCCTTCCTCTCATATACCTCTTCCTCTTTCTATAACTAATCTAATATTGAACATTTCTATAATACTCTCTCAATACAGGGTGGCACCATGATATTCATTAGTTCTTACTTTGATTTTGTCCGGTTAAGAAATTTCCTGAAGTCACAGGAGGCGTCGTTTTGTATGCTGGGAGAGTAAGGAACTATCTTCTGTTTTTTTTTTTTTTTTTTTTTTTTTTTTTGGGGGGGGGGGGGGGGGGGGGGGGTGAATAAGCATGGATTTTTTATTTTTGGGCAAGCGCAATCTTTTGGAAGTGAACCATTATATATTTAGAAGTTCCACTCTATTTTGTTTTACTATGTATCTAGGTACACAAAACAAAGTGATATCTCTCGCGCAAGAGTTTGGTTCTTTAATGGAAATCGGAAAATCATGCTCTACACTGAGAGAGCTCACTTCTATCACAGATACAAGGTTCTCATTTCCTTATTTCCAGAAGTGTGATTTCTTTGATTTTTTATTTTTTTCTGATATTCATTTTTCACATCAAGATCTCTTTTTTACTATCACCATCATTTCATTATGCCTGGGAGTTTTGCACTGATGTTTATCTTTCAATTGTTCTTTGGTAAAGATTCGTGGCATTCAAAACCTGATCATCTATTCGCTGCCAGAGAGGAAAGAAATTTACCCTGAGGTTAGCACAGTTTTTTTTTTCTCCCCCTTACAGTCATCGTAGTAGTTCAAAATATCATTCAGGGTATCATTGTTTTTATTGTGTCGCAGATTGCTAATATGCTACAAGGCACGACTTGCACAGTTTTGTTTTCTCGCTTTGACCTCCTCCGGGTATTGTCTTATTCAGCCACCCTCTTTTCCTCGTCTCAGTCTGACTTTTTTGTAACTCCTGAAATGCATTCCGTCATCTTTCTGTTACGAGTCATTGCTCATTCATTTGTCGTTGCCATTCAGCTTGAAAGAATCGTCGGTTCTGCTGCTGCAAAACGGATGGTATCCTCAGACCAAGGCATGTTCATCTTTGCTTAAAATTAGATCAACAGTTGATGCATGGATCCCAGGAAGCTTGAGAGCAGTAGTTGCATGAATTCCTTGCTCCAAAATTTTGTACCTCACAAGTTTTTCTTTCAAAATTTTTGGGAAAGACTTCACTGAATCAATCCAATTGTCATTTATTTTGCTTTCTAGTCATAGATAGGAACAACTTGTGTACCCAATGTATTCAATCTTTAGATTGTTGTGTTTATTATAAACAATAATTAAAATTTGATTCTGACTTCCTTCAGGCATTTTTATATTTGATAAGATCATTTTCTTAGTGTAGTTTACCTCTTTTATTTTCATATTTGTTAAGATAATTTTTCTAAAATAATTTATCTCTTTTCTGTAATTTACATGGTTAAAAAATCGCTAGCCGTTTTTTAGGAGCTCGTGAGTCCGGTCACTTCGTTTCTTTTTCCTTTTCCCCGTCATTTTGATTTTTGGGCAAGTCATTTCGTTTTTTGGCCAAGTTGCTTTTCTTTTTGTTCAATTCACTTTCTTTTCCTTTTTCCTATGTAAGTTTTGGAAATACCCCATTCATTGGTCCGAAATCAACATCTATGAGACTATAAATTGAAAGGTTCGAGTGATAAACTTTACAATCAGTTTAAAATCAATAGGTTTTCAAATTGTTCATTTGAAAAAATTGAATTACTTCTTGCTTTTAATAACAAAGATTCTTATTTCTTAATGATATTCTACGATCAAGACTCCTAAAAATCAAATCAAGACAATTTCACTAAATCCCATATGCTTAAGCAACGATTAATTGGTCCCTAAATATTTGTGTATTTTTTATTTTTAAAATTATTTTTAATTTTTTTTTTTTAATTTTAAGACTTATATTAATTATTTAATATTATAATAGTCAATACTAAAATATTAAATATTTTTAAAAAACATCTCAAATTTGAAGAATTTAAAATTATTTCACTCAAAACAATGTCATTTTGAGTGAAATAACGTATTTAAAAAAAAAAAAAAAAAAACAATAACTAATCAGCCAACTAGGTCACCTAGTCGGTGCCTAAAAAGCTTAGTCGGCCATCTAAATTACCAATTACTGTGATACGTTCGTTAGGTGGCAGGCTACAGAATTTTTGCAACACCGGTAATTTGTTGGTTTTTACATCTGTATGGGGAAAAAGGGCCTTTTAGTCTATTAATTGTGCTTCATCTGTATCAAATAACAAAGAAATATTCTTGCAATAACATAATTGCAGTCTATGAATGATCAGAAACACAGGACATTAAGGGATAATGGGAAAAAAAAAAAGATCACTGGATAAACAAGCCACAGCTGAACTGTTTGTTGTCCAGAATAATTTATAGTGTATGCAGGGATGGGCAGTTCTAATGGTGCAATCTTCCATCATAAGATTCGAAAGTGACACCTGAAAGTTATCCCAACATCATTGTTAGTTAATTGTGGTCCAGATCAAGAATAAGAAAGACACTTGAAATAGGAATACGCTCTATGAAATTCGTGGCGATAAATTAGCATACCCTAGCAAGCCGCGCCCCTCCCATGCTCTAGGTGTCACCGATAAGTTAACCAGAGTGCCCTGTCTAATAACCACCATTGATATTGCACGGCCCTGATTTCTCTGTGCTTCACCTGCAAGCCTTTGCAATAAGTTATCACTGGACTCCATATCACCAAATTTTACGACCTGATCCCCAAGTTGCACTCCATCTTCTGCTGCTGGGGATGCCTCAGTAATTTCATCAACCAGAGCAAAGGGTTTGCTAACAATATCAACATCCATGGCACTACTTGGAGTAGTTGTGGCAATGAAATTGGAAGACGTAGAGGATGTAAGGTTCCCTGCAGAGATTTGAACATTAGAGACGTATTACTCAAGTCTAAAGCTGAAAAGTACTTGATCTATAACGCTGCTATACATCTGAACAGTGAATTTCCGACAACCACAAATCAAAAGTAACACTTACAATGTTATAACCATTAGCCACTATTTTCTGAAGATTTGAAGAGGACTAATGATGAAAATATGAAAATCAATGCAATCAGTATGTACTTGTTAAAACATGCAGAGCACAACTATATCAAACTATGATATAAACATATTGTACACGGAGGGGCATGCCAACAAAAGAGCCACCTCCTCCGTTCAATACATATTCCCTTATACGGAGTATTTTTTCACAGGTGTATTTGACTCAACTTGTAGCATGCATGAATAACAGAATAAGAATATGAAAAAGAAAGGAACTTGCACTTACGCCATCACTATAACACTCAAACAAAGGACTTCTTTGGGAGCAATCTAGCCAAGTTGGTGAGGCAATTGACTTTGTAACAACAAGGTTACAAGTTCGACTCCCGACATGAGCGGCCTAAAGGCCTTCATGGTTTGAGCCACTCAGATATGGATAATCTAGGCTATTTTAGCTCTTTTGCTGGCTAGGGTCACAAGGCGGGGTTTACGCCATGCACACCACACCCTCAGGTAGTGGCTACAGTTTCAGACATCACTCAGAAAGAAAAAAAAAAAAAAAAAAAACAGATAAACAAATGACTTCTTTACATAGAGTGGCAAATACCAGAATCTTGAGAAGGTCCAGAAGCAAGCCTAGCCGAATGCAGAACTTGGATGTTTTGGCTTATTTTCTCTGTGACATTCTTGTGATCATTCCGCAGCACTGCATTTGTGGGAAAAAGGCTTCAGCAAGAGTGATTGCACAATAGAAAAAAAAAAAAAAAAAAAAAATTCCATCAACATTACCAACTTAAGTTTATAAACACAACTATCTGCTAGCTAAAATTCACCATGAAAACAAACGTCATGGAAGTTACCTGCAAGTCTTTGCCGATTAGCACGAATACTCATAATATCAACATCTTCTCTAGGGAAGCCCTAAATTATAAGAGAGGCGGATGAAGCCCACATTTAAAAAAAATTAAAAAAAAAAATCATTCAATGTAGAAGAATCCATTCAAATTGAAACTTAGAGCAGTTTCACATCCACCACTTGGGCGGCGCTCCATCCTACAAACCACAATTTATTATATATAATGTTGAGAAAGTGAGAGGGGGCGCTTACCTCTGAATCGAGAAGATTACCGGAGAGGCCAGGGCCTCCGGGACAGCAGAGGCTTTCAATAATTGCATTCATCTCAAGCTCCATGGCAGTCCTCAGCTCCATCAGCTTCGTCGTCTCTGCTTTCAGGTTCGTTCCCACCATTTTTCTCTGCAAAATTTCCACTAGGGTTTTTCTGCTCCAGAGCTAAACAAGCTTTCCAGAAATGTGAGACAATCAATATTCAATATGGTGGGTTTCTTGCCCGGGGGTTCAACACTCACGTGCGACGCACGCCCCCCTACTTTTTTTTTTTTTTTTTCCCAATTTCTAATAAAACTCCTAATTTAAACAAAATTTTAAATTTTAGGCATTTTAGTTATCAGGACTATGTGGTCTAATGGTACCCGGGTTGGACTTCCATTTGGAAGATTATTATGAGTTCGAACCTCTTATTGATTCTTTGTGTTTCAGTAGGTTGAGAAAGTATATGGACAGATACTACAATGTAATAGAGTCAGTCACTTTCAAAAAAAAAAAGTTATCATGTTAAATATATTGTACTCAGTTGACAAATGTCATAGGTCCAAAATATTGTTATAAAATTCATTAATAATGGATTTAATAGAGATGTCACCCGTGACACTCTAAATAAAAGATTATATATAAAGACATAATAAATTAGTTTATTCTGACCCATTTGTTCCTAATGGTTCATTTGCCCCATTGATTATTTAGCAATTATTATTGTATGGATCATACTCTCAAATAATGTATATTCAATATAAAAATAATATATTTTTAGTATATTAAAAATGTACATTGTATTCACAAAAAATATATTATTTTGTATAATGTATATTCAGTACATGAATAATGTACTTTTTATTATGATTTACACAGCACTGTAAATAACCATTATTTGGTGTTGTTTTATGTTTGTTTGAATTTTTGTTGTATTGTTTTGTCGGTTTTTATTAGTTAACGTTAGGACATATGCTTGTGTCTAGTTTTGTATTTTAAAAAAAAATATTATAACAAAATTAGTTTTTATTTATTTAAATTTTTATTTTTAATAAAATATTGCTTAACATGGAAATAAAATAAGAGCATTAAATTAAAAATACGATTTTATTTTTCACCTATACATATATATTTATTCCGTATGTTACGCAGTGGAGTGGTAAAAAAACGTGAACCGACACCAACACTACTCCTAGAGTCGTAGGTTATGTTCCACAGTGACCCATGTCAACACACACATATATAGGACCACCCGAACGTCCATATATATATTCTAGACTAGACTAGATATATATAGAGAGAGAGAGAGATAGTTTTAGAAAGAGAAAGGGTGAGAGGAGAAGATCTAGATCTTGAAGGATTAGTTTGAGGTGAGAGTTGTAAGCCATGGAGGTTGCAAGACCTCAGTTGATTCCGCCATGGATCTCTGTCTGCTTCTTCTTCTCCTTGTGTTTCTTCTCCAAGGTTCACTCTTTCTACCTCCCTGGTGTCGCTCCCCAAGATTTCAAACAGGTATATATATAGCTCTACATACAAACATACATACAGTGTATATATTAATTGATCTCACCAGCATTTTTGGTGGAATGGCTTAACGTTAGTTTGTTAAGGTTGTTTTACATTGTCGTTTATAGAAAAGATTTGAGCTTTTTTGTATAGATGAAGTATGCTATGCACCTAGAGTGTAAACAAGCAAGTTAATTGCCATTATGGATGCAAAACTTGATCTTAAAGATAACAGTTTTAATGTTGTGAAGTCTTATTGATTCAAATATGAGATCAGAAGTTCAGGCAATTGATGGGGTATTTGGATGTTACAAGTCTTGATTTACTTGATTAGTATAGTGTGAACACCCTTTGTAATCAAACTATTATTGGCCTACAATGAATTGGTCATTTCAAGATAATGGTGAACTAACCAATCATGCTCACATTTTGCTTTGGGTCATTTGCAAGTAATTTGGGATATAATGATTGTTTGAGGTAATTTTTCTTGATTTATTGACTGATTTTGCTGACGATGTTTTTAAGACCAAGTCTATCCAATGGCAAGCACGATTTTAATCCACCCGAACACTTCCCCTAATAAAAGGGGGTTGTGAGGAAACTACCTCACTTCGTTGAGTGATGAGGGAAACCCACAACTACAGTCCGAGGGTGTGCACTGGGTAAATCCCGCCTTGTGAGGACCTAAACTAGTCTAGGTTGCCCATAGCTGACCATCTCAATCCAAGAAGTCTGAGGGTGTACACCGGTTAAATCCTGCCTTGCGAGGACCTAAACTAGTCTAGGTTGCCCATAGCTGATCAGCTCAATCCAAGAAGGCCAATAGGCTGTTCCCGCTAAACTACCTCATTTTTATAATAAAATTATGAGCTATGTGGAGATCAAAGAATTTTTTGGGCTTCCTTAATGAAGCTCTCTTATGAGGTAAGCTTACCTTTTTCTTTTGCAGGGTGATCCTTTGAAAGTGAAAGTGAACAAACTGACCTCTACTAAAACTCAACTTCCCTATTCGTTCTACTCCCTTCCTTACTGCAAGCCAGGCCACATTGTGGACAGTGCGGAGAATCTTGGTGAAGTTCTTCGTGGTGATCGTATTGAGAACTCTGTTTTTGAGGTTAGTTAATTTTGTTGTAAAATAAGAGAAACAGGCATAATGAAATTTGATCCCTATTACACTGTAACTTCTTAGTTCTGAAGCATGGAAACTAAGTTCTAACTTCTAAGTGAGGTTGTTGTATGCAGTTTCATATGAGGGAACAAGAAACATGCAAAGTTGCATGCCGTATTGTTCTTGATGCAAAAGCGGCTAAAGAGTTTAAGGAGAAGATAGACGATGAGTATCGGGTGAATATGTAAGAAACTCTTTTGAAGTTTTTCTCGTGCAACAGTTTTTGTCAAGTAATCATTTGTGTCTAACATGGGTTTATGTAATTCGTAGGATTTTGGATAATCTTCCACTAGTGATGCCCATAAAGAGGCCAGATCTGGACTCTATTGTCTATCAACATGGATTTCATGTTGGTTTGAAAGGACAATATGCTGGAGTATGTATCGGATCTATTTCGGTTTTTTTAGTGGCTGGTGTTTGAACTTTGTGACATTTCTAATGTTGGGTTGTTTTGATGGAATCTTATGTTTTTCTTTTCATAGAGCAAAGAGGAAAAGTTTTTCATCCACAACCACTTGGCATTCACGGTTAAGTTTCACAAGGATGAACAAACAGATGCTGCAAGAATTGTTGGATTTGAAGTCAAGCCTTTCAGGTCAGATACTGCCACATATATCTGTACTTTTCCTCTGTTAGCTTTTATATGTTATGCTTTTATATGTTATAATTTAAGATTGGGTCAGGTCACTCAACTGGGCTATAATGCACATGGGCCAAACCACCCTAAAAGATTGAATCCTTGTGTTAGCTTGTAGTGGACCGAACAAGCTCTAATACCATGTTATAATGCACATGGGCAAAACCACACTAAAAGATTGAATCCAACCAATTAGAAAGTCTAACCCATGGCTTTATAAACCCATATGTTCTCTCTTATTTTATCAATGTGGGACTCTTAACAGTATGCTGATCTTTTAACTATGTTTTTCATTGCTCCAGCGTGAAACATGAATATGACGGGAAATGGAAAGACAATACACAGCTGAAAACGTGTGATGTCAACGCTAAACGCACTGTTACAAGCTCTGATTCTCCCCAAGAGGTTGAAGAAAACAAGGAAATAATCTTCACATACGATGTTAAGTTTGAGGTAACATATATTTTAAACAATGCATAGAAAAAAAAAGTTCTCTTTCTTGAAAACTGGCGATGTAATTACTTCTCAAACTTGCAGGAGAGTGATATCAAGTGGGCATCCAGATGGGACTCCTATCTTCTAATGGCTGATGATCAGATTCACTGGTTCTCGATTGTAAATTCTTTGATGATCGTACTTTTCCTATCGGGAATGGTGGCAATGATCATGTTGCGAACTCTCTACCGTGATATCTCGAAATACAACCAATTGGAGACCCAGGAAGAAGCTCAAGAAGAAACGGGATGGAAGCTGGTCCATGGCGATGTCTTCAGGGCTCCAACAAACTCGGATTTGCTATGTGTATATGTTGGAACTGGAGTTCAGTTCTTGTGCATGACACTAGTGACTATGATATTTGCTGCTCTTGGATTCTTATCGCCTTCGAACCGTGGAGGATTGATGACTGCTATGCTTCTTCTGTGGGCATTTATGGGTGTGTTTGCTGGGTACGCATCGGCTCGTCTCTACAAGATGTTTAAAGGATCGGATTGGAAGAAAATCACGCTCTGGACAGCGTTCATGTTCCCGGGAACAGTTTTCGCCGTTTTCTTTGTGCTGAATGCTATAATTTGGGGCGAGAAATCTTCAGGGGCTGTACCATTTGGAACCATGTTTGCGTTGGTTTTCTTGTGGTTTGGAATCTCAGTCCCGCTCGTTTTCGTTGGTAGTTATGTTGGATTCAAGAAGCCAGCTATTGAGGAGCCCGTCAAAACGAATAAAATCCCACGACAGATACCCGAGCAGGCCTGGTACATGAATCCGGTTTTCTCCATCTTGACCGGAGGCATATTGCCGTTTGGAGCTGTATTTATCGAGCTCTTTTTCATCCTTACTTCCATCTGGTTGAATCAGTTCTACTACATCTTCGGGTTCCTCTTCATCGTGTTTGTCATCCTGATCGTCACCTGTGCTGAGATCACGATCGTTCTGTGCTATTTCCAGCTATGCAGCGAGGACTACCTCTGGTGGTGGAGATCATACCTTACTGCAGCTTCATCGGCGCTCTACCTCTTCCTTTATGCAGCGTTCTATTTCTTTACTAAGCTCGAGATCACAAAGCTCGTTTCTGGCATTCTCTATTTCGGGTACATGCTGATTGCATCATATGCTTTCTTTGTGCTGACTGGAACTATCGGGTTCTATGCTTGCTTTTGGTTCACAAGGCTCATCTACTCATCGGTTAAGATCGACTAAATGGGCTGATAGTAACAAAGAAACCACATTGTATCTCTATATTGATGCATGCTTCGATTTTTCAGCAGAAATACATGCTTGTGAATACGGGCTACTTTCGAGGCTTGTTTTGTCTCTTTGTCATTCTCTACTGTTGAGCATTTGAAGAGTTAGACACAATGTTTAGAATTCTTTTGAGGAAAACATGTAATGCACTTATGAACTCACA